TCCATTTGCTCTGATATCGTCTTTGATACAATCTGATTTTGATGCGTTGTACATTACATAATATCCATATATTCTTCTTACTTTCTGTATAACATGAAACAAAATATACAAAAATACATCGCAACAATAGTGCCAATATAACGTATGGCATGATACCAGAAACTGTTTTAAAAGTATCCATATAATAGGAGCAGACCAACGACAAAACTGTCTCCTTCCGTGCATGGTTCGTCTTAAAACGGTTTTTGATTGCCCATTCTTGTTCAGGGCTTGTCATTATGACAAAATATATTAAAAAATTCTTTTAAACAAAGATAACTTTTTAAGAAGTACATTTTGCCATCCTATATATTAATGATGTCAAATAATCAGTTAAATAAAGAAAATATATAGTTTATTGAGTCCACTGTATGATAGCAGATATCATGTGCGTTTCACACTTAAAATATATATGAAAGCAAACATTTTGGCAGTCTTGCAGTGAAAGCTCTAGTGATGCATATCTACACTAAAATGAACTTCAAGAATATAAATTGCATTGAGTATTGCGAGTCTGGTTTGAGTTCCTGGATCGAACAAATATGGTATGCATAGCCGCTGTGATTATTCCTTAGGATTGGTTGAACACGTTCGCCTTAATTCCTGTCCTCTTTCATGCAGCCATTTATTGCAAACTGAAAAGATTTTATAAAGATGAATACAGCTCAGTAAAAACAAGGATGTATACAATGCCTTGGTACACGACAGCCATGTTTGATAGGCTTTACACGGAGGAGGCAAGATTTAATACTGTCAAAAAACAAGGAATTTAAAAAATACTAATAACAAATCGTCGAACTAAGGCCGCATTCAGAACAGATGATCCGCGGACTAACTGACTGACCAGTTATTAGTCCAGTTAGTCCGCGGATCATCTGTTCTGAATGCAGCCAAAGCAACTTTTAAAAATGGTGTACATTTACTACTACCTTGTGAATCAACCTTGGTAGAAGTTAGACTGCTTAGACTAAATTCTAATAAGAACATGTTCACAGATACTGTGATATTTTGCCTACCATGACCGCAGATAAATAATATGCACTTTTCCCTAACGCACACAGTAGAGAAAAATGTAATGAATTGACTAGATACATATCTGTGAATATCTGATTAAAAATCAATTAGTGGGCCTGGGGAGGGGGGGGGGGGTAGTGAGTGATATTAAAAAGCGCGTGCTGAGCTTACGTACCCCATTTGGCCCCAGACAGCACCGGACACGCGGCATGTCTTGTACGGTAGTCGCCAATACCACTCCGTCTGAGATTGTACCAGAATGCTGCAGATCCCTAAAAAGTAATCAACAAATACATGTATGTTACTTTCCACAGTTTTATAATTGTAGTTCAAAATTGGTCCTTTCAATGACTGAGGTTTGATAAAATAAAAGTAATATTTTAATATATTGTGTCAGTTATTTTTACTATACATACATGTAGAAATATATAAATTGCATTTTAACTTTATTACTATAAAACTTTAACTTTGGTAAATTATTATACCGATATATGCATATGACTACAACGAAAGTGTAAGCGTTTTACAGTTCAAATACAATATGTTTGAGTCTAATTCACCATACACCACTAAATATTTGATTACAGAACTTATGCAACACTCGCACCTTTTTAGGGAAAACTTTAACTCCTAGTTTGGGAAATACTGTGGCGCCCCCTGCTTCCACGTCTGTCATCTAACGACAAAACAGAATGGTAAACATTATACAGTATATCACACATACAACGAACCTGATTTAATTCTTAATAGGACCCAGTATCCTCTTTTTAATGGGTCCTAGATTCTAACAACTGTTTGGCTGAACAATTTAACGTTAGAAAGACGTCACTATTATTCTCGACAACTGAGACCAAAAAGACAGAAAGCTTATCTGACATAGGCACGGGTATGTCGACTGATAGAGTAACAGCATCGGTTACTTCCAGTGCAATTACTTACATAAAACAGAACTGTGGCTATTCTATTTCCTATAGCATCACTAAAAGCGTGGGTTTCTCTCCTCTGGAAAAAAAAAGAAAAAGTGGCTTGTCTTAAAACACTACGTAAATGTATAATCCAATAACTTTTAACAGTAAAATAGGTGAATCAGTGTCTCTTGTATAATGATAGTAAACAGGCTATATATTAAAATCCCTTTAATGCTATTTTGAAGCCCTATACGTCACATAAGTAAAAACAATGATGTCTTTACAAGCTACATGCATGTACTTTTTTCACTAATATTAAACTAGGTATTTGTAAATACCCCTCAGATTAGCGAAGTTGATGAGAAAATAATAGACTAAAACACTTGATTTATTTCAAAGTTAATCTTGTATTTTTAAAACTTACCCGGGCAAAATCAAAATGTGGCTCATATTGTCCACCCATCCCGTAATTAGCTACCTAGGTAGTTAGAGAAGAAAAAAAACATAACACATTCTATTGGTGAAAAATTATTCTACACACACTGGACAATAGAAGTGTCACCCCTACTGAACCGATACTTTGAGGGAGATAAATGATTGCGGAATGATATGCTTCTGGTATCCATTTATTAACATCAAATTTCACAAAAGAAATGGTTCTGACTGAACAATTCAACTGTATCGATATTCTGACATTGCTTATATTTCACCTCTTCAGGTTAATAACTTTGATTACTCTGGTTCAAGGGGTGACACTTCTATTGTCCAGTGTGTGTAGAACATTTTTCTAGTTTACCAATGTCAGCAAATAAGGTAAAAAAAATATATAACATTTTTTTAATGTGGCAAATTTAGTTGAATGGAGAACTAGCAAGGCGCCACACCTGTAGTCCTTCAGCCGTGGACATATCTAATCCAGTGATGTCCGCGATTCTTTGACTGATTACTTCCACTACGGGGTCGATGTCGCTGTCCAAGAAAACGCTAGAACAGAGAAATTTATAAGAATTTTCATACTCACGGCAATTTTTAACAATTAGTAACACATCGAAGAAGTCTCGTTGTGTACTTGTACTGTCCTCTCATTGAATTGAAGTATTTCACTAAAATAATGATGATCTAACTCACTGCCCACAAAAGTAGGGCCATTCTCTAGTAAGCTTGAGCACACTGGTTACATTATACAGACTTGACATTTAATATGGAATATTTCAGTTTCGAAGGTATGCCTAGGTAAAAATTCGTTCTTTTTTCAAAAAACTCCTATCTCATATAGGATTTGTGAATGGAGAAGTGTGTAGTCAGGTGTGTCGCTACCAATTAACTGACTTCCATGTCTGTTGCGCTACTNTATAAAAATACACATAAAACGGAAACTTTTTCACCATCTTGGATTTATGCATGATTAAATAAATGAAAAGAAAAAAGTTTAGAGTAATCGGTAAAAATAATGTCATACTATTAAAGAGAGATGTAGCGGTTGGATAAAAACTTCAAAGCAGTTTGCTTCGTCTAAAAGATAAAAGTCTACATTTGAAAAGTTCATACGCAGAGTGAGCAATCTTTAATAATCATTGCTGTTTTGGAAGCCACCCTTTCCATATAAATGCCTCTAAGAGCGGGAAGATCCAGATTATGCTTGTCACGATAGACATGCTCTGTAGTTGGCTAACTCCATTTTGTACCCAACAAACATTTGAATTTCCTCTTTGGATTCGGTATTAAGTACCATTAGGCAAAGAGGAGGGGTGAAACCTACATACTTTTCGAGATATATGGAGGCTTAGACAATCGTTTAGAACCATCTGAAGTAATGTGACGAGAACTTATGAAAATTTGGAGTTCCTATATCCTCGTAAAGACAAAATATTCTGTCATTTCTTGAAAGGTAAACCGTCAACTGCTCATGCTTTAGCCATCCATGAATTGCCGAATTTTACTCTGTCTATTAATTCTCCCTTTTTATTTTATAGCAACGACCGATATGCCACCTTTATGCGGGAACAATACAAGGTGCTGCAGGATTGACAAAAACAACGTGACGATCTGCAAGAATACCCCTAGTCCAAATAGCCAAGGTATTGCACCTTGCCCCAAGCCCTGGTCCTGTATTTGTGTTCCAGAAGGTGAGGACTTTCATTACAAAGCCAATTGCATTAAGCGCATTTGCAAATATCAATACAATGTGCATTTATAGGTGAATCGCAACATTTTTTATTATTATTATTGTAGGTGTGTGTGTGTAAAAATCAACGCGTATTGTAACATAAATTAAAAACTGAATATTGTAACAAAGAAGTTTGCTATTCAGTTTTTATTCTTTTTCTAATAAATGCCCATTTTTTTCTTTTGGTATTATTCAACAAAAATATTTCCTCTGCTATGTTTTTTACCCCTTGATTGCACTTATTTTATCACCAAACAATAGTTATCATGGAATCCCATATATTTTTTACTGCAGGGCTAATGATGATACCCCCACATTTATTATTTGGCTGACATTCCGTAATGTATAATATTGCTTTCTTTTCTTTTTTCTCCTAGAGCCACTGGCATGTCGTAAGTATAACGTAAAAACTAGATTAATTTGACATGCAGTTTGCTTCCTATCTATTACTATTTATTACAAGCTAACTAAATTATGTTTTTATCATAATTGAAAAAATTGCGGTAGTGGATATTAGCTTACGGTCCACATTATACATGGAGACTCGTTCAAAAAGTTTAGCGAATAGATAAAACAAGTTAATGTGATTGGGAATTGGTGTGTGTGTGTGTGTGTTTGTGAGTGTGTGTGTTTTGATGTTAACAGACTTAAGTTCTTTACTCATATGTGCTGGCAGAAGTTTTGCAATATATAGATTATTTGTTTGTAAAATATTAATGAGGCTTTTCTTACATATCTCTTGTATTCAATTTTCAGCTGAACTTACAACACAGTGTCGTAAGTATGATATCTTGTAAAGCACTTACCAGTGTGTAGAAAAAGAAAATAAATAGGAAAAAACGATGATATATCGAGTTGTTTGTGGTCTCATAGCTACGTAGCTTACCGTTGTGCTTTAATTTCCAAATGTTTACGTACTGTCTATTTAGTATATTATGTTTTAACATAATAAAATTAAAATTATTAAAAATCGTCTTATATCCACGTTTTAAACTTTATTATTATTATTTTTGGTATATAATAATAATAATAATAATAATAATAATAATAATAATTGTTATTATTATTATTTTTATTATAGCTCTTACATAATCCATTTTCCTATATATATTATATAATGGCTGAATAAATTATTATAAGTACTTAAATGTTCATTTTGGTGGGCAATGTGAAACTTAAAATATGTATATTTGTCACTTTCAGCGGATGTTCAACAAGTCACGTGTGATGGTACAGCTTACACCTTCACCGACAGCCATCAATTTGTCGCCGTCAATTTGGCACCGTTGCGATACTACATCAGCTACTCCGGGTGCAACGATGTCATTATATCCACATGTAACACCGCCGGCTACGATACAAAGCTGGCTCTTTTTGCCTGTGATGCGTTGTCTAATACTGAATCCGGTGGGAGTCAGACATGCAACATCTACCAAGAGTACAGTCTGTACAATAACGACGACGACAGCAGGTGCTCTGGTTTCACCTCTTTGATTCAGATTCCCGAAGGAGAGCTAGCCAGTGGAACGTATGCAATAGGTGTGTACGGATACGACACCAGAGAAGGGACCTTTACGGTGTCTATCACTTGTTAGAGATTTCACGGTCGTTGAGCGCAACCAAGAAATTGAACTGTGGGCATGACCCGCTCGAGAATAACTGAATTGCCAGAGACTACATTTGTATTCCAGATTATATCAAGTTTATTGTAAAGACCAAATCACTGAAATACTAGTATACAGCTGATCGAATGAAAAATGATGAATTATAAAAGTTGAGATGAAGATTATATCCTTACATAAGCCATTAATAAATCTCTGCCAATTCACTGATAGTTTTTATATTTTCTCTCAAATACTGAATTATATAAAACTATAAAAAGTTAAATATAGATAATTTTTCAATCATTCAGAGGTACATGCCGTTTCATTTATATAAGACCCCCATTGATGACTTACCTGCCCTCAGAGTATACGTCTGTAATTTGTCACTGAAAACCCACCAGACACTTAAAATCATAAGGTCATTTATCCACGAGGAGGGTCCCCCTTTTATTTTCTGAAAAAAATACACTTATATTCCCCTCTTTGAATTAGAATTTTGACTAGCAGTTTTATAGTACTAAGCCGCACCAAATGGCACTGTTTGCCCTCTAAAATACCAAATATTTTCGGGGCCCTTCAGCGTGCCCCTAACCCCATGCCAAGCGGGGGAAGGGGGTCAGCTTCGCATCCGCGGCCCCCCCCCCCCCCCCCCCCCCCCCCGGTTCAAATTATCTTGGATCCGCCCCTGATACAAAGGGAAATGCATTTGCAACGTCCTGCTGGAGTATCGGTCACAAGGACGTGTTACATATAGTATAAGGTTGTTAAATTAAAAAAAGCAAAGGTCATTGAATACATTTATATTTCTGTACCATGAATACTTCAAAGGAATTATGATAAATAACAATATAAACAAAAATATATTACTTCTTTTATTAATACCGAAAGTTAATTGAATCACAAAAAGAAAATAAAATCCACAAAAACAGGCTAATTTTGAGCTCTTTTTAAAATCCCATTTTATCATGTTTGGATGTCTTTTTATTTTTCTGAGGTAACATGCTGAAAAAAAATTAAAGTAAAAAAAAAAAATAAAAAAAAAAAAAATATATATATATATATATATACAGACTTGACATTTAATATGGAATATTTCAGTTTGAAAGGTATGCCTAGGTAAAAATGCGTTCTTTTTTTCATAAAACTCAGATCTCACATAGGATATCTGACTGGAGAAGTGTGAAGTCAGGTGTGTCGCTACCAATTAACTGACTACCAAGTCTGTTGCACTGCTGCATTGTGTAATATGCGGTGATTTAATTGGGTAGTGCTCCTTTAGGCTGGTCAAAGCTTGGCTTTGGCAAAGCATGGTTCTGTCAAAAAAGTATCCATATGTCGGCAACTACTGCATAGAAGAATTTGAAATTTTGCATGTAAGCGGTCAGTTTTGCAGTGCGTAAAATGAGTCAAACAATGTTTTACAGAAATGTTAATCTGTGCCAGAATGGCGCGAAAAAAACAGACATTGCCAGACAGATTATTGTGTCAAACGGAATTGTCTGCACAGTTTTATGAAGTTATGCCCAGACTGATGTACCTACACAGAGACCACGCCCAATGTATCGACATCTTACCACCATGGCACAGGATTCACCGTCCTTCAGGATATGCTGCTGCAACTAAACAAATCCCACCCAGTCCGTTCAGAATGAGGGGCAAATTGTGACCAAAACGCGTTTTTCAAGGCTCTTAGCGAATATCAAACTGGTTTTAGCAGGTTAGAAAATCANTAGGGTACAGGACGCACTGTCTTTCGGGATAAACTGCTGCAACTAAACAAAAGCCACCCAGTCTGTTCAGAACGAGGGGTAAATTGCCCTAAAATGCGTTTTTCCAGGCCCTTAACGAACACCAAACTGGTTTTAGCAGGTTAGAATACTAGACGACCTGCGAGGTACCCACTGTAAACAGCAAAACATCGTCGTCTGTTTCTCCAATGAATTGGGGGCCATGACCGTTTCTGGGTAGAACACTGAAACCGCGTGGCTTTCTTTATTGAGGTCAGATTTCACCTGTACCTCCAAGCTAGTCAAAACAGAGTTTACAGACATTCAGAAGAGGCCTACGACGAAGCATGTACCGCGTGTAAAGTGACACGGGTCATTGACAGCGTCAGTATTTGGAGTGGATACCACATTGGTGCCAAAACACAAATGGTAGTCATTGACGAAAACCTGAACCAGATCAAATAAAGGAATAATCCGGGAACCACTTGACTATCATTTGATAGGGGGCACCTTAGGAAAAATTTTAGGTTGCACGGTCAGATTGCCGGTTCACACAGAGCACTTTCAATAGCAGATAACTTACAGAACCAAGGGAACGAGCAGCTACCCTGGTCATCAAAATCGCCACATTTGAACCGCATAAACAATATGTGGGTAAGCCATTACTCGCCGAATCAACTGCTTACATGCCCTACATCAAAACTGGACCAAATTGGACAATTTTGGACCGATGCCTGGAATAATATTCCAGATTGAACTCTAAAAACTTTTCCCAAGGAATGCCTTGCCGCTTGAGAGCGCTGGTAACAGACAGAAGAGGCCAGGCGTAACAGCGACCGTTACTATGACTACACACTGACATGAAGGTCCATTGTGTAGCGTATAACTCTTTTACAGACGATAATTTTGAAAATATAGAGATCCNAATAATTTGGAAAATATAGAGATCCAAAATATCTCATTTAATGGATGTTGTATGACATAGAATAGGCAATGCATTTCTGTTTGCCTCACTGCCGAATTCAACCAATGAGCTGATGTCAGCATGACATCAAAGAGATAATTTAAAGTTATTAAAACACGATTTTAATCCTTATTTTCATTTATCAGTCAGCAAAATAGGAAAAAACTGATGAAAAATGACTTAGAAAAAAACATTCCATATTAAATGTCAAGTCTGTATATATATATATATATATATATCCACCCCTGTCTGGTTATTAAATCCGCCCCTGTCTGGTTATTAAAGCTCTTTCCTTAATCTATTATATGGCTTATCTAAATTATTTGATATGATTTTAAAATAGAATATTTAAAATTATAGCTTTTCAAGAGCTAAAAACAGTATATTTTGCCAAAAAAAGATTTTGCCACATACCTCCAAAACTTATGGTCCTAAGTAAGAAAGCTAGTGGCTGCCAGTATCTTTCATGTAAATGGTTTGCCACAACAAAAATTATTAAAATCTGTTCGCCCCTACCTTGCCACTTTTTAAAATCGATTTACCTGGTTTTCTCATGGACGCACTCTTAGGTCTCATATTAAATTTATTAGCATTATTATCATCATGCATATGGTTATTAATATACTTATTACTATTGTTATCATTTTTATGATATTTCGTATGTAAACTAATGTTGTACCGCATCATTGACGACGATGTCACGGAAACATCAGCTATCAAATGTCCCTCGGGTGAACAGCCAGGCATTGTAGGCTTGTTATCTGATGATAATAAATTCGGAACACTGACAGCTTTTGATATTAATCAAACCACTCGACTCGACCATATATAATCTTATGACATTTACTGAAGAAAGTTATGGAAAACCGCCGCAAGCAAAGTAAGAAGATAGTGAACAAAATCTTGAAAAACTATCGACCGTCTTCCGAAAGACCCAGTAGACGGTCTTCATCCGCCCCTGAGGACGGGAAAACGAGGCGAAAACAGTGACAGGTACTGCTGACATGGTTTTCTTTTATACTTGGTATTATTTAACAACCGTAAACGTTGTGTATTAAGGTCATTTTATTGCTTTGGTTAAAACGTTTATATGCAGACTTAAACCAAAATATGATTGTGAGTAACAGTGAGTAAAATTTCATAGATAGATACGCGAACTACACATTATGGAGACAGCGGGAAATGTACATGTACCTGTACAACTGCAGTTTGCAGTTGCATATCATCTTGCAAGCATTTTCAAAATAAATAAATAAAAAAGATTGTTAAATACAATTTTAAAAGCGTGAATACACATTTTGCTACGAACGATTCAAAGGTCATCATTTAGTGACCTGTATGTTATGCACAGTCTATTTGAATAAGTAGAAGAAAGACTGGGTTTATTTTATAAACCAATGAAGTTACTAGTGCAGGAGTTTTGATATAGGTACACATCAATATTTAAAAACGAACGAGAAATAAAATAAATAACCTTAATAACGCAAAATAATTCAAAACTGTTTTCATATAAGGAGAAAGCAGTGTTTTTCGTCAACCAGTAGGTAATATAGAAAATTTTAAGGTAATAAATATAGTGGTTTGTCTTAAATTACAGTTTTTGGAGATTGCTGGATTTGCTGATGCTCAACTGCAGAAGGTAATGATGACATCTAAGAGGTTCATACACGTTTGTCTGTCAACAATAGTGACTATTTCTGTTTTTTGGTTTATGTGGATAAATCAAATTATTTACGTAAACAAAAACACAAGGGACAACGGCGTCAAGACAGCCCCGACTACTACTAGAATGGGTATCGGGTACAATGGCTTGCCTGAATCCATTGAGTTATCGTTGGAGATAAGGTATGCAGTTGTGCAACAGAGAAATTACAGTCTGACAACCGGCAAGCGATTTGTGTATCTCATTATGGGCCCAACCAAACGGGTCATCAAAGGATTAGAAGAAACTAAGAAACGGGACGTCATTTGGATGACGTTTGAAGATAAGTCAGGTGACATTTACGCCCCGGGCACATCCCACAATTCCGGGAGAAATGTGCTTCTTAATCACGCGGTCAACTTAGCGGCCCAAATGAAAGACGGCGGTTATCTCTATTATATATTAATGGACGATGACGTGGAGCTTTCGGTTAGGTCGGATGGGCAGGTTAATTGGAAAGCTTGGTCCAAGATGGCATCGGACCCTTATCAGAGGTTTGAGGAGTTTCTTATGTATTACCAACCTGCTGTAGGATACGTACGTTACCGAGATATGAGTAGTCAGTATGTCAACAAACAAGAACCCGTAAACTTGAACTGGGATTTCGACGAGTGTTTCAGTGCTTTTCACAAGGATACACTATCATTTTTGCTACCGTATGATTTGCACCTAGACTATGAATCGTGGTGGTATGGCGGCTGGATAATCCGTCAACTGGTGTCAATGCTGTATCACAGCTATCGCATGCAGTGCAACTCGCTGCGTGTTACGAATCATATATCAAATAGACCTGTTTCGAAGGACAGATATAAGAAAGCTTTGGATTTTGGAAAAACGCGGGACTACATGTCGTCTGCCTTACTGACGAATACCAAGACCAGTCCACCAAAGCGCAACACATTAAGCAAGGCTCTTTTGAAAGGAACCTCTTCGCTCGGAAGTCCAGGTGCCTTTCGGCCGGGCCCTAACATTAAGATTCCTGGCCAACCGAAACTAAAAGGTAACCATTCGTATCTTGTGACGCCCGATTTTATCCTACAACACTGGGACCCTACCCATCCCATGATTAAAAGGAAATTAAATTGGTTGCAAAAACCAGAAATACAAAAAATTCTCGGACTAGATAACCGTCGTCTGCAGCCTTTTACACCTGACACTGTGTACTGCACCGCACCGAATAAATTTTCACTGACTATAGAAAAATGACATCAAATAATTAAGAAAACGTATATGTTCGCATCAGTGGACTTTCAAATGACTTCAGCTGACATTTGATTCCTTTAATAATGTTTCTTCTTGTCAAAATTTTGTTTGATTCAGTGTCATCGTTCGTAGGATAGTACATGCTTTATATGTATTGCGTGGTTATTTCCTGTCGATGCAAAAAGAGCAAAGAGAATTTATGTATTTCTAGATATTTCTTTTATTCCCTCATTAAGAAAGGGGTGCAAGGATTAAAAAAAAAAAAGAAAAAAAATCACTGCCGAAAAAATAACCTTTTTCTTTTGTACGGTAGGTCTTAAAATAGAGGTTTATAAATCAGTGTTCGTTCAAAATCATATACCAAGTATTATTACAACGTTCTACTGACAGGTGGGCACATGTAGAAAAATCACATGTCTACCATTTCTTACACCGTATGATATACACCCATAGATTACGTGGAATCCTAGTTTTAAGTCGCGCCGATAGATGGCGGCTGCGCGCGCGAGAGTAGGCCTACCCATATGTAATAAGACGAAAGGCCTATGGTGTTTACCACGAGGGGGCACTTGTCAACAGTCGTGTACACATATGTCCAGTAGAAAACATTCACTGTCCCACTGGGATAGCGGACATTGTCCACCCCAGACTGACTAGGATCCGTACACAGCGGCGGATTTAGGCCGTCTTCAGGGTCTTCCGGAAGACGGTCAGATTTTCAAGTTGAAGGGTATCTAATTTTTTTCTGTCGGAAGACGGTCAAAAATGGAAAATGGATAACCAAATATAATATGGAAGACTGTCAGGAAATATTTCTGGATCCGCCCCTGCGTACAGGTAGGAGGGGGCTGTTAGCTTACCCCGTATTCGACTGCCCATGTTGTCAACAAGCACTGGGGAGTTCACATCAGAGACGGTTGACGGAGTCATCAGACTTAAACCCCTTTGAACTCGACGGAGTACTTTCTGCGCCCTCCGTGCAACCATAAAACTGGCATCGCTGTGGTCGTCGAAAGGAGGCACAAGCATCGCTTTGGTGCCAGAATGCGTGCTAAATGATCGGCCACTTGTCGGCATGTGAAGTAAATTGTTTTTTTACTCTCAAACGGGGTCTTACTATGGGACGCAGAAAGGACGCCGTCCAGTGTAAAAAGGGCTTTACCGTTTATCTAAGGGCTAGCAGATGGAGGACGCAGGGAGTTGCTATTAAGATAACCAGATCCGGGGATACGATTTTTTTTTTTTTTTGGGGGGGGGGGGGGGGGGGGGGGTAAAAAACTTTTTTTGGGGGGGTAAAAAATTGGTTTACAAAANTACTACCAGTGGAAACAGTGCTTCTCACACTCTCCTGGAAAGGCCATCTTGGCTGTTAGAGCGACCAAGGTGCATTGATTGTACCACCAACCCCCATGGAATGCATTGGCACAGTATACTGCATTCTTGTCATAGGTAGAAAACGGCATGTTAAAATTGAGGGGCCAAACGTCTTCAACACTCAAATTTCCAGAACCTGGCAATCATTTGTGCAACACATATTTCTCGGATTCTGATCCAATGCAAAAACCGTGCTGGATTTCCCAGTAGTAATTGCCAGTGGACAGGCTCCTTACTTTGACCATTAAGGAGTAGTTTCCCTGGTTGGTGAGATGATGAAAGGCTTCCAGTCCCAGCCAGTGGTCGCCGGCAACGTCACCAAATCCGTCGCGATAATCCACCCAGGGCCTAAATAGGCAGTGATCAAAAAAGACCGTCGTAAACTTGTATTAATATGCAAAATTCACGTGAAAAGCATGTGTTGCTAATAAGACAACAATCTTTTTTTCCTTATAAATGCAAAAATATGAAAATAGTCCTAAAATTAAAAACATATATTATTTTTTCTTAATCTATTTATTTTTCTTAAAATTATATTATAAGATGATAAAAGTGACAACCATCGTTATAATTAATTAACAAAGCTAAAATACAGAATTGACAACTAATATGCTATTTGTATAAATGTATCTTAATTATAAATTATCTTAACGATAACCAACGCCAGTACATCCCCGGGTAGAGGTATTCCATAATTACCTTGCGAAGTCCAGCTCTGCCCCCGTTCTACGCATTAATACCGTCCATCCCTTCTCACAGTACACTTTAATGTTTCTTCTCATAGAATGTAAATGGATGTATCGTGTTCCATCTGACCCATCTAAACAGTTATTACTATTATTATTATCATCATCATTATTATTATAATATTTATCAAAGTCTATATTTACCAAATCAATAAAATAATAAAATTAAAACCCTGAAATTCAAAATAAATCTCATGATCCTTAGGGTGGAAATGGAACTTCAAGATTTAGCTACTTCATAGACGATGATAATAGAGATAGAGTATGCATACCCTATCAAACGTTTTTAAACCTTTTTTTGTCATTTTTTGCCCATTGAAACGCAATATTGAACATTTTTGCTCTTAATATTAGTATTAATCAATCATACCGAAGATAACAATAAAATAACTTACTGTTATCACCACAGTCCCTTGGCATCTGAAACAACAAAGAAAATAATACCTTGAGTGCATTTTACAAACATTACAAAAGTAGACAAAATGCATTTTCCAATAAGCGATTTTATATTGAACTTCGGCGGTAAAACAACAGACTCTGTTTAGCAAGGAAGCAAATACAAATAATTAAAGGCTTTTGATTATAATAGGTCAAGAATACAAAGCCAAGATTGAAGATGAATTTTGTCCTTTGTTCCTTTTTATACTATTGCAATGGCACACGCTATCACTTCAATACTCTACTTACTTTCATGAAGTGCTGACTTTCATCATCGTCTTCGAGTAACTCCAAATTTGGTGAAAAATCTGACACAGAATTCAGTTCACACACGGTATTATCGTACCGTATATTAAATGACATACAGTCTGGATTTCTCTGGCATTCAGCCGCACATTCTATTTTATTAACTCCGGATTCCTGTTCTGTGGTTTTCAGTATGGAATTAGGTAAAAATTTCCCATGTATGGAGTGGAACATACCGGTATATGTAATTACCTCATTTGATGCCATTGTAAAACAGACGATTGCCATGCAAACGGCAAAGCACCTGCAACGTCCTGCTCGAGTATCGGGCATGTCTACAGGGATGAAGGGCATCTACTGATAAAACGTAAAATGAAAAACAAAAAAGGTCATTGAAGATATGTACATTTGTGTACTATGAATATTTCATAAGATCAGTGACGAGAATGGTGTTTACAACGATTGATTATCATTTGAAAACAACACAATTTATAATTGTATTATTGATTTATAGGGTGAAATCGCCTCGTGTATTCTCCAGGAGATTGTGTTTTCCACCCACGAACACAACTCCAGAGATCCAGGTCAACCGAAGACATAAGCTACCCAACAATTGTTTTTATACCGAAATTTGTAAAGACATGCACCTGTATAGGCCTACATGATTCGTTCAGGTTTTAACGACAAAGACATTTTTTCTGCTGGAAACTTATATTTTCAAAGGAGCTAAAAGCTCCGACACTTCGGTGTCGACCGACGATAAATCGCAGATAAATAGCATTGTGACACAAAACAAAGATTCAGCGGAACAAAACAAACAGTGGAAATGTAATCTTCAGAGAATGTTTTGCACAGATACGCTTGAAACAGTTGGGGCAGGACAGCAAAAATGAATTGCGTGAAATGGGTTTCTCCTGTGATTAAATGCAGGAAACATGAAAAGATAATTAAAAGTTCAGTAGCGGGATTTGATATCATGCATTCTTTTAATATTACACTTTTTTTCGAATGATTCGAGTGCCAGTGGTTTAATATCTTCGCTTGCTAATCATCTTTAAAGCTAGACCAGTTTTCCTTTATAATATTTTCTCTCAAAAATATTTTTCTTAAATATAAGTAATGAATCATTGCTTGATCCATCCCTGCTTTTGGATGCAGTGTGTAATACCATCTTTATCAATTAATTCATGTTTAAATGACTGGACATCAACGATGAGGAAGATGCTAAATTAAGGGCTAAAATTAGACACATAAGATAAATCATATTGACTACACACTTTGTTCCTAGAAAATTGTTTCTGAAGTTTTTGAGCCTTCAGGGTACACGCACTAGAAGTTCAAACAGTTTCTCCGCTCTGATCGATGACACTTAGTAACATGGATTATAATATAATCTCAAATTCCCGGCTTTTGAAATTCTATTCAACATTTTTCCTAATGGCAAATAATGTAAAGTGGGGTTGGCAAATTGTAGCTCTTTCAGGCATTTGTATTTGGTGTAGATACCTGTATAAAGAGACATGTTGTCTCTAAAGGCCCTTAAATAATGCATAACTTAAATAAGATATACATCCCTGAGATACACGTAATGAGCAGCAAATGAAAGTTTAAAAAGCAGCTCTGTACTAGGACATTGTGACACCCCCCCCCCAAAAAAAAAAAAATAAATAAATAATCATAAATAAATAAATAAATAAATAAATAAATAAATAATAAAACGTAAAAACTTTAATAAATCCTACAAAGATCTATCAAATTTCAAGAAATTTGCTGGATTTTAACTTCGATATGTGCATGATCATTCTCCAAAGTTTCAGTTATCTTGGTCACTTTGTATAAAAGTTATATTCGTTTTAAAAATATGTGACTTCCGAGGCAACCACATTTCTTCTTCTGGATTTCCCTGACCATTGCTGTAATTGCTCCCCGCAGTTCACCAATCATTTGATGGTTGTTTTGGTACACTTTATCTTTGAGATACCCCCACAGAAAAAAAATTGGGGGAGGTTTAAGTCCGGTGAATGCCGTGTCCACTCAATATAATTTGGAATTTGGTAAAAAAATTCCCCTGTATAGAGTGGAACATTCCGGTGTATGTAATAACTGCATTTGATGCCATTGTAAAACAGACGATTGCCATGCAAACGGCAAAGCACGTCCTGCTCCAGCATAGGACATGTTTACAGGGATGAGGGGCATCAACTGATAGATCGTATAATGAAAAAAAGGTCATTGAATATATGTACATTT